TGACGGCTGGGCAGCTGCACCCAGTGCAGAGGACAATGGAGGAAATGAGGMTTTTCTGGGACTTCAGCAGCCTCCTGGGCAGAGGCCACTGGAGAAGTCTTGGTGTGAGATTAGAGGAGGAACAGGAAGGAAGGAGCTGGGAATTGCATAGTGAGGAGCAATGTGGTATCAAATATGCAGAGCACCTAAGAGCTTCATGCTACAGTTATCSTCTTTAGGAAAGGAGTATTTTGAACTTTCTGGTTGTACATCAATTTATGTTCCACTTTGTTCATGCAGCCACAGGGGCTGGGTGAGCACYTGGGAGCTCCAGGCCAGCAGTAACCCATCCCTTCTCTCCCAGCTGGGCAGCACGCTCACCATCACGGCTTGGCAGAGATCCCACAGCCCCCTGAAAACTCAAACCATTTCTCAGCCATCGAGGAACTGCTACCAAAACATCCCACGCTTCTGCTGGGCCTCCTGGAATGCCTAGGGAAGCCATCCTTAGCATGCACACAAATAAGTTCTGGAAAAGGGCTGTGATGAAAGGAGATACAGTCTAAAACAGAGCTATTGTCAGCTCTCTGTCTCAAGGCATGAGATCCTCTGCTTGTACCTCCCTGGAGGGCTTTCCCCTCCCACCCAGAGATGTTCACTGAGTGACTCTGACAAACTCACTGAGCTGGGGGAGACCCTGGCTTCTCCTTGGACCMCAGGCAGGAAGCACTTCAAAGACAGCTCCTCTCCCGAGCTAAAGKAAAACCCACCCACCTCATCTCCTGAATCAGGGGGGTGGTGAGGATCAACAAGCCAAGACACTTCTCTCTTCTTCAAAGGGCTCAGAATGGTATTTCAGCTGCTGCTGGGAGGAAGAGAAGGGGGAACCACAAGTGCAGCCTGGCTTTGCTCACACAGGACCTTGCTCTGATGGGCACCCACCCGCTCCCGTCTCCCACCACCCTGCAGCACCCAAAGCTCTTGWGAGCAATGGCCGAGCAGCTCCCTGAGAAACGGTTCAACTCTCAGAAAGGCCAAACTTTTCGTGTGGTTTCAGGGAACTGCAATGGAAATCCTAACTTAGGATCACTTCAAACCCCATGCACTGTGTCCCCCTCAAAGCACTCCAAWGAACATCCCTTGCATCTTGGCTGAGATGACTGTACACGGAAAATCAACACCTATCAAATGGAGAAAACTTAAAAAGGACAGGAGGGGAAGGGAGCACTCCATCCTTCACATTTGGATACATGGATGCACGCTAAAAATCTTAGCTTGAACCCTTTTATCAGCACACAAAATGAACTCAGTTTAATAATACATACAGGATACAAACACTACAGTTATAATTCCCAAGACAGCACAAGAAATTCACAGCCAAGTCTTGATTTGATTTCCTTTACAATTACAATGCAGTCTTGAACACTGGACGCAAGAGTCCAACATGCTATTTACATTTCACATTGTGGAGATGTTTGTGTGCTTGGAAGAGTTCTCAGTTCCAAAAGAAAGTGTCATTCACACATGATGATGCAGTGGAAATAAACCAAGCCAACCAGACAAGCCAATGACCACATTTGTGCTTCTGAAAAAGTAACATGAAGTGTCTTCACCGATGCAGTCACCTTCAACCGGACAAGCTGCCGTCCACTCTGCAGTCAGCGAGGTGTCCAGAGGCCAATCTCAGCTCCCCCGACCTCTGGACCCTTTTTCTAGCRACCAGTAACACGAGAAATGTCCGATAAGGTCAGCTGGGACACACCAAGTGATATGGCCTTGGCATTTTGTCACATTAAAAACAGAGAGACACRATGGAAGAGAGAGAAGTCTCTACAGCTTTACCTCCTGCAGCTTGAAGAGTTTGGACTCCCTCAACCATGAATGCCATCCAGAACAGATGAGTCTTCGCCAGATAGCACCTGCTGTTCACCCSAGAGGGAGGCACAGAGTCTGGGAGATGTTGGCTTTTCAAAGTCCCCTCCTCAGACAAAATGTGACCATATGGATGAGACTGATTATGTCGCAGCCATAAGAATAGGCAAAGGCCATCTGTTCTTCAGCAGATCCATTCAGACCAGCCTGCAGAAATGCCACACTGTTGCTCAAGGTTCCAGTAAAATAAAAAAAGGAACAAAAAAAAAGTAGTAATAATAACAATAATAATAATAAACCAAAAGAAACCCATTTGTCTGTGTTTCCTATCCAGCGCTCTGCACAGCATGCAGCGGGGCAGCAGAGTTCCAGGATGCTTTACAAAAGTGCAATATCCATGTCAAGTAAAGGAAGTGCTGGCTGGACACAGGTACACACCGCTCACACCGCAGTCATGTTGTGCTGGCCTCCAGAGAGCAAAAAGTTATCTCCAAAACATTCTTTCCAGTTATACATGGAAGTCACACAGCACGTATCTCCACAGCTGTGCCTTGCTGCGAGCCCCAAACGCTGTCAGAAGTTGTTCTGGGTGCTGGAAGAGGCTCTGGTGAGCCTTGGAAGGAAGCAGGTCAAGGTGGCTGCTCCGTTCAATGCTGCAGAGGTGTCGGCTCGCTCCMACAGGGCCACTGTGACAATTTAGACCCGGCCCTAAGTGCAGTCACACACAGRTTTGGGGTGCATTCTGTGTACAAAGAAGCTGCTACACAGAAGCACTTGTTTTCACAGGGTTCCCCACACCCTCCAGCCTCCAAAACATTTGCCTTCAACCAGTGGGACTGGGCCACAGATTTCAGGGCAGCTCCCCTAAAGCTGATAATGTGAGTAGCAGTCGGGGCACATCCTTGCATGGAGGGTTGATGGCAGAACAACTCAGTCTCAATAAGGATTATATGGCTCTTGATTCTTTCTTCAAAGRGAGGGAAAGGTTGGGGTTCCCCCCAGAGAGCAGTTAGGTGCTTGGGGCCCTGCAAGATCACYGCACCACACCCTGCACACCCACATCTCCTGGTAGGCTCTAAGACAGGATGGAAACCCTGGGGCTCACGAGCCACAGTTTCCCTCCATAACCACCTGTGACCACATTTCCCTGCCCTTGTGATTCGATAAAACAGAGGTATGTTTCAGTGTGAAGCCCATCCAGTGTGTCTGAAAGGGCAATTCTCAGTCCTGAGCAAGAAAATCCTGCTTCCAGAGATTTATGGTGAAGCATGACRTTAACTCCAAAACCTTCTCTTCCTGTCTGTATGGCGATGCCTCCTCCCTGTCTCTCACTCCTTTGAAGTAACAGCTGGCCTTGCAGTTTAGTAGTGGTTTCTATCTTAAGAGGAGTCTCAGAGCTTGCTGTGCCACAGAGCTGGTTCCATTCCCCAGCAGATCCCASGAGCCTGTTTAGCTGCCTGCCAGGAGCAGTTCCCACCTCACTGCAAGAAGGCAACTGACTTRAGTAAAGGCAGATTGGTAATTCTGTGCCCCAAACAGAACATCACTGAGGTGATGACGAACTGCCTCTGCCAATGGCTCAACTCCAGTTTGAGAGATGYTCCCCACTTCATTTCCTCTGCCAGTTATTTGATATAATGCTCAGCAGCTCTGCTAAGATGCCCCTACTAAGAGGTAAAAAGACAAAAAGGAATATCATAGTCACCCTACTGAAAGGGCAGTAYTTGACAGTACCTCCCAAGAGGCAGTCTCCTCTTCCAGCAGGAAGCTGTCAGTGCCCTTTGGAGCACTGCTCTTCAGTGGGAAGTACAGCACCAGTGAAGGATGTTGCCCTCTGCAGGCACCCAGCTGCCCCTTTGCAAGCCTTGTTCTGCCTCACGTCTAGGAAATGCCTCACATGTGCATTAGTATGGTCAGATAGTGGTTAGCAATGTGCCTTTGAAAACTAAACAAAATAAAACAGAATAAAATATAAACCTCTTCTGACAGTCACAATGTTGTCCAGGGTTTCTGACTTGAGAACACAGAAGATACACTGACAATCTTGTGAGTTTGTTAGGACTGAGGCTCCAAAAACCTCTTTCAATGCCAYTTCAGCAACCCTGTGCTGTAGATTATGATTTATAAAAAAGGAAAAAAAGAAAGTCCAGCRGAGTTCACAGGTCACTCCTGCGGGGAGAGCTTGCATTTGCTATAAATCCATTGGTGCTTCCAGTTTCTCTTGCTTTTGCAAGCTGACTGTCCATAAGATCTGGCATCAGAGAGCCAAAACTCTTTAGTGCAAAAATACCTCCAATAAAGTCTTACGAGTCTCCCTGGAAAAATTTGGCACCAAGTGAGTGGCTGGCTCCTGTTTGATCTGCRTGTCAGCCTCGAAAAGGCAGCACCCAGAATGCCATCTGCAAATACCTGGGCTTCCCTGATGGAGCAGAGAGGTCAGGGCCAGAGCAATGGGCAGGGTAACTGACTGCTGCTGGGCCCCTGCTCCTCCTCAAGAATTCACATGATAGGTAAAAGTGGGAAAGAAAAAGGCATTTTCTCAATGGACTTAAAAAAAGAAAAGTGAACCAGGGTAGTGAAATGGTTTGCTCTGGAAGAGCAAATTCCAGTGGATATGCAGTGACACCACGAGGCAGGAGTTGCCCWCCTCCCTCCCACAGCAGTGGACAGAGGATTCCCACCGAGCTGCCACACTCCCTTGGCATTCCCACGTTGCACACCAGCCCCAGGCACCGAGTCCTGCTTCTTCGGTGTCTGACAGGCTGCTGGTCCCACTGCAGCAGTGAAGAACATCTACCACCATCTTTCACCGAGTCCTTCTTGGAACAGAAGGGGGGAAAAAGGGGCAGAAGGTATTCACCAGCTGTTTCTGGCAGGCTRTTCTGGTGAGCTGGGCTGTGGCTGGGGGCCCAGGCTGCTCTCAGCTCTTTGCCTGCCCACCTTTGCTCTCTTGCAGGTACAACAAGGTGAAGGCCTAAATTCAAAARGAACTTCCACTCCAGTGGGCAGGTACCAGGTTGGAAGGGTGGTCTGGACTGGAGAAACAGAAAGAGCTGCACTGGATATTGGGCAGAACAGCAGGATTGTTCTACGAGGACAGCACAGGGGCACAGCAGTTGGCACATTGTTTAGTCTGACTGCACGTGTGGGTTTTGTTTTTGTTTTTTTTTTTGCTTTTGTGTTTTCATTTTAATGCACACTGCCAGCATCTGGACGAGGTTGGTTGGTGGCGAGGTATTTGGCTCTCATGCTGGAGGTGTACTGGAAAARGAAAAGACAAGACAAAAAAACAAAACAAACAAACAGAAAATTAAGTCAGAATGGCTAATGTCACGACAGAACCACAGATTTCTACCACTTCTCAGCATAAAATGGTGTGCATGTACAGCAAGCATTTCAAGGAGCTGCCGGCTCAGCCTCACAAGGAAAGTTTCACAAGTCACTGTATAGTTCACTCTGAGTACATTCTGCCAGCCTGCTGCAGGGGTGCTGGCCAGGCCCGTGCAGATGGGCTAGTGATTTATCCAAGCTCTCTAGAGAAGAAAATCCAACAGTCACCAAGTCAAAACATGACATATGTTGCTTGGGAGAAGAGAGGGAAATGGGAGTGATGCAGATGTAAAAACCCACCCCACACTTTAATCATCTCTTAGYCATTTTRCTGCTTTCAACCATGCCAGAAAAGRAGGTTGAAAAGAAAATGGGTGCTCTTCACATCTTCACATTGCATTTTATAGCAACGAGGGCATCAGAAGACTGCACGTGCCACAGACGGGCAGCTCGAAAGAAAAGTGAGRAATAGCAAAATGATTTTTGCCCAAGAAAGAACAGACCCTGCCAGGCTGGAAACAGGCTGCCATCAAACAGGATGATATTAGCAAGGGATCAGGTGGGTGACAGCTCACTGTGGCTTGGGATCCAAGCTGTGCACTGTGCAGCAGCAGATGAGACTCCAGCGTGGGGGTGAGAAGAGCAAGTCAGAAAGATGAAGGTTAGTTCAGTTTGGAGGTGGTGGTGCTGTTCTTATTTTCTTTTTTATTCTAAGCAAGGTAATCCAAAACAGCTCCCAGAAGCTACTGAGGTAACATATATCATTCACCGTTGAATAATGAGCTGAAAAACATGCAAATAATATCCAGCAGTAAGATGGGAACTTTGCCTCTTTATGCCAATGCGTTCGATGTTTTCTGAGTTCTGCTAGCCCAATATAACAACCAAGCAATGAGGACAGACATTTCATTCCTCTTTTTATACCCTCTGGAGCTTGAATAATTCTGTAATATCCACAGCTTACTTCCCAAGAGTGCTCTTCAGCATACTGACTTTTTATCACCTCTTAAACTGAACCACATAAAATAGCCAGTTAAGCTGGCAAAGAGACAACTGAAAGGCAGTTCCACACCAGGAGCTATGATTTATCTTGCCCACYGGGAAAGAACATTATGAGGCATCTTTAGGCTCTCAAAAGCTTAGCTGTCCACGGGGGTTTTCAGAGAATTAACARCATTTTATCAGTTTTCCTTCAAAGACTGACCTGGGTTGAACCTCTGCACAATAGAAGAGAGAAACTGCTCCTTTGGCAGAGCTGATCCCATCAGCTCAAGATGAAGACACCGTGGCTTATTTGCACACTCAGCTTTTAGTGTCTTCCATAATTGGAAAACTTTTCGCAGAACACGGATCTTAATATAAAACTCTGGCCCAGAAATGGCATCTATATTTAGAAGACAAAGGGTACATCTGTTCTTTCTAAGATGTATTTTTTGTCAGCCAGAGGGCAAAAGATAGAAAATAGAAAGCTGAGATATTTTAAGGACAATAATCTACACAGTTTATTAAATGTGATTACTGTTTCAGAAATAAAGTTTCGGTGTTATTAATACATGTGAGACTAACCCAACAGGCTCAGAGAGGCTTAGAAGTCAAAGAGGTTTCTCATAGAGGAAGTAGGGCACATTTCAGGTAGTGCAATGCTGAAATTACCAGCCAGGCCTCATGCTAAGAAGAGGGTCTTTAGAAGGAAAAATGCATTTGATTGCTCATTTTCCATTTCTACAGTGACGTGATAGGAGATGAGTATGAATAGAGAACTTTTCTAGGTGCTAAAGTCTTGTAAGAAATATTTAGAAAAAAAATCTCAGATAATGGAAGGTTATTGTGCAACTTTCTGGACAAGTCACATTGGTTCAGCACACARCATGCAACATAAACTTTCTTTCAAGCATTAAAATCAAGAAGATCACTTGATGAATTGCATTACAAAAAAGTACAAAGTACACCTATCATGGAGGGAGAAGCTGAAAATCATTTCCTCCTTCTTCCAAAAAAGAAAAGACCCCACAGTTGCTTCAGCRTCACTAAAACAAAGCAATCAGGAACACAAGAGCTGGACAAGTCAAGCAGAGAGTATTTTACATTCAAACCTACCTGTAAAAACACCACAAGGAACAAATCAAGACTCAGAGTAGTCAGAGTTAGGGCTGATGTTCTCTCCTTAASTCAGGATTTTTGCACCTTTGTACCTCTTCCCGGTTCAGTTTGACCCAGTTACTCTTTCTGCTAGGGGTATTTTTAATGATAAGTATGATTGATTGAAACCTGGCAGTAGAGAGCCAACCCTTCACCGTGCTCCTCTCAGGCAGCACAGCTCTATCAGAGTGCCCTGGATCTCAGCCACAGCATCACCTCCAGGTACAAGTGCTGCAATCCTTCCTCTGAGTCCTTCTCTGCTGGGAAGCAGAGGAAAGATGCTGTGGAACACACAGATCCCAACATCTGGCCAGGCCAGCAGATGAAGATGTATCAGCAGACACTTGGCAGTCTTTGGATATGAAACCAAACCATATTATTCATAGTTAAAATAATTAAGTTGTCAGTTGCGCTTAAAAAAAAAAAAAAAATCACTAAGCCTTTAACTCCTTTCAAAAGTGATTCTAAAGACAAAGAGCCTGAGTAYAGTTCAGACCAAGGAGGTCTTGGACTCCACTCTGAGGCCCACAGCTGTCAGGTTCACAGTTGCATTTAGTTTCCTTTAAAGAGGAGCTTTCATAGAAGGTTAAAGAGCACTCACAATTCAGCCATTCTTCCAGCACTCTCACTGGAAGTACCCATGTGCCTGTACACCCTCATTTCATTTACCCTTTCAAAAACAGCACAGAGGACAAGTTTCAACCCATACCTTCACCTCTCTSTCAGCTTCCCTAAAAAGGGCACCTGAAAGAGTTCTTGTTACCATTCCTGCTGGTCTCTTGTGCTATACARCACAGCACCTCTCAGTCATTTACCAGCCAGCTCGGACAAACACAGCTGATCGCACACAGATTTATTTTTGTATTTCTCCAAAKAAAATAAAAGTTTCTCCTTCACATTCAGCCTTGTTGAGGGTATAAACTTTCATAGGTGTGGTTTGCCAGCACATACTAGTTAGGCACTTAACACACATAGCCTGGGCACAAAGGAATCATTGGTTGCAAAATAAACAAAAAATGAAGGGAATAATCAGTTCATTTTGGAGGCCATAAATTCTACTGACTTCTGTGAACTCCATGAGTACTTCACAGCTAGCTAAGCTACGCTGAAAGATCACTTACCATATGAAACCATGAGTGAGTACAAACCATTTACTATTTGTGGTTAAAAACCCACGTGTATTTCTCTTCAGCTGCCCTGACTTTGATTTCCTGCCAGAGCTGTTCAGGTAATCCAATAAAGACCAAAGCTTCTGGATTCAAGTTCTGAAAGGTTGATCTCAAACAGCTAGAGCACAGTAAACACACAGGGTTTGGTGTTATTATGTATGGAAGRTACAAGGTGCAGGGAAACAGCTAATTCCAGCCAGTGGGTTCTGAATTCAAAGGGACTTAAGTTTTTCAAGTCAAAAGAACAGAGCTTCTGTTGGTTTTGTTTGTTTTTAGAGCCTTGGAAAGAATGCAGTGCCTTTTCCATAGCCCTTCAGACAGCCACATTAAGCTGGGGTGGGGCCATAGATAAACAGAAGACAGTGCAGACTGGGATCAGGTCATGTTTCAGCCCAGGGAYTTCAAGCGTAGAGCAAAGGCTCTAGAATTTCCCCACCCTCACCAATATTTCATTTCATGGAACAGATCCATCTAACATCACTACAATACCACCTACAGGAACAACAAAGCAGAAAACCCACCACAAGCTGAGGCCCAAGAGCAGTCTTAGGAAAAGACTTAAGACTGGAGAAAGCTGTGAGCCTTCCAAGGGTGTCCAGCATGCTTCCAGACAAGGCTGTTTGTGTTCATGCACCAGGCAGAGGCATCAAGACACCCGATCCAGACCCTTCCCAGCAGTGCCAAGGCAGRCGGGCAGCGAGGGGCAGCAGGGATGGACACCAAGCACCAACAGAACAGGAAGGAATCCAGTGTGAGGCTGACAAAAGTGCCARCAAGAACAGCAGAGAAGAAGGAACAGCAGCAGCTTTATGGACATGTATTTCTGGGAAGAGAATGCAAGATCCACGTCACTGATTGCATGAGCCAAAAGCAACGGGCTCCCTGTTCCTGCTGGAACCARCACCTTCCAGTCACTGCATGGCTGTAGCTCCCTTGAAGGAGTGTTGTCCTTCACACCACCTGAGTTTGCTGSTAGCCCTAACCATATCCTGCATTGAACCAAGCTAAAAACCCCCCAAAAATGCAGACCACCTCCTCTTTCTGTGGGCAYGTGGCTTTGTTGTGAGGGAAGAAACACTGGCTGTCTTGGAGAACACCAACAACTACAGCCCATGGAGAATTCAGACAGCGAAATGGTACTAGGAGGGCCCTGCTCACAGAGTCTGTGGGACATGGATGGGATGATTTGGACACACAYAGAACAAACAAAACAGTAAAAGGTTTTGAAACAGAATGAAACAGATCTTARTGATTATGTCTGGAACCTTAGGGAAGCTTCTTTTTTTTTTCTGTAAAATTTGCTCTTTTCTGACCTTAAATGTAAGGAATAAAAGGAAAAGCTGCACGCAGATCTGACAGGCAATTAAGTAACTCTTCAGGACAGTTTAAAATCAAAATTCCTCCAAACGAGCTAAAAGCTTGTGGCAGGTTGGCATCGATGGTTTTGGGCACATGATGTTATGACCAYTAAGGACAAGCAGAACAGCAGTAGGGCTTAAGGAAAGCCAAAAGCTGAATTAAGACAACCATTCCTGACTGAAGTGCTGCTAGATTGGTTCTCTTTGCTTCTAGAGAATGGCTTCTTGTGATGGGAGAGCTTCTAGTCTGCTTTTGAAGCGCAGGGCTATTTCTAATTTGAGCAGCAGTCAGTACTTGGCGTTCAAGCTGTTCTCAAGTGTGGAGAGGCACGGCCACCTGGGACCCTCACAACGTGCACCAGAAGCCTCTGGAAGGTTGATACTGCTCCTCGAGTCTGCACCAGAGCCAAAACGGATTTTCATTTTAACCCTTGGCAGGAGGGAATGGGGTGGGAGGTGCAGAGGGAAGGAATGTGAAGAAATAAAAGGCACTGGCCTGGGATAAACAGTGCAGGGATGAAGGGAGCGGTTGGGAGTGGAGAAGGGGTTGAGCAAGAAGGACCTTTTTTGCAGTACCTGTTCCATTTGCRGGCGCTGTTACCAGTATGTCCGTGCACTGTCCGAGGGCTTAAGCTGCCAGCTCATATGGCTGCTACTGTCCATGGCAGCCAAATACAACTGTGATGACGCAAGAAAGAGAGAGAAAAAGAGAGTGCAGCCTCAACGTGCATGAAAAACACAGTGCAAGCAAGTGAAACCGTGGTGTGTGTCAGCGACAAGGTGGGCTCTACAACCCTAAGGGAGTATCCCTGTGGCAAGAAGGAGAAAACAGAAGGAATGAGAGAAGGAAAAACACAAACAAACGAACAAAAAGCCAGGAAAAGTAAYGGACAAACAATGCAGCAGGATCATCACATCTTAGTTTTCACCATCTGTTCACAGAAAGCTAAATGGAATAGGTCAGCTCTGTCAGGTCCGTCCATACCCACTGGACATAACCTACTTGGATGATTATCTCCCTCTCCTCCCTCCCAAAAGGAGGCAGGGATGTGTGCATTGGTATTCCCTTTTCATCTCTCTCCTCCTACAGACAATTTGCTATGAAAAGTTACCACTTTTTCTGCCACAGTACAGTCTCAGCCACCTGCTACGGCAAGCTGCAAATACAAAAATCCCAGAAAAGCCTTTCCCTGTTGCCTGCCAATATGAGAATAGACAGTATTTTTTTCCTCTCCACTGTCTACTACATCCCTCCAGGAAACACATTTCTCCTATAGCCTGGTTTCTTGTCTTGTCTGGGGAGAAGTTCCCTTTTCTGTGGGTGCAGTGCTGCTCCTTCATCCTCCCCAGCTCCTGCACTTCCCCGTAACCAACACTGATGGCTGCCAACTCAAGTTACTCTGAAGAAAAAATCTTTAYCTACTCCCAAACCCCAGCCTTAGGCACCAGGACCCAGATTCCCAYTCAGGGTATCAACACAAACAACTATTGAAGAACCAGGGTGCTTTTTGCCTCACTACAGCCCCGTGGAAGGGAATGTGCTTTCTCTGAAGCAGAGGAGCTGTAGGGCAAGGGGAAGCAGGACATGGCAGGAACACGTGCTCTGGCAGTACCAGAGGGACAGTGCCCTTCTGCCCCAGGAAACAGCAGCAGTGCAGCACATCAGGGTTGTGCTGAGACCATCCTGCTGCTGAGAGCAGATAATGAGACCAGAGCTCGTGGCCAGAGCACCAGGGGTCAGGAAACCTCTTTGGGAAGGGTGAAAGAGRTCTGGCCAAGGACAGAGACAAGGATCAACTCTGCACATTTCCACTTTCTCTACAGCAAGATGAATTGGTCCTCTTGAAGTTAAACCATCAATGTGATGCCCTCTTTTCCACCACAATTCCTACTCCTTCATCCACCAACCTCCTCTTCCTTCCCTTCCCATCAATTTGAACCCAGCACCAAGGAGTGTATTTTCTTTACCTACACCTGAAGACTGGTTGATCATTAGGCATTTTACTACTCATCCTCTGTAATCACACCACCAAGTTAGTGAGCACTGGCATGGCATGTTCTCCAGATTCTGTTGTAAGTTGGGCTTACAGGATCCAGTGAGGGAGGGCAAGATTCATTTAGCTCTCACCCAGACATGAGGACAAGCCCATGTTTTATCCAGAATACAGAAATGGCTATCAGGCCATTCCAATTACCAAAACCTTCCATGAAAGTTTCTTTTTTTTTTTCCTCCATAGGAAATTAAATACAAAAATAGATTTCAAAGAAAGCAAAACAGTTGTGAAAAAAAAAAGATTTAAAAAAAAATCTCAACAAAAAATAATACAGGTTTCATCCTATCATCTCTTTAGGGAAGATTAAGGAGAGAGGTTCAGCAATAACTCTGAATTTACAGTTTTAACAAGTTTCTTTTCAAACTTAAGGAACCAATGCCACAAATAGCAAGTACACTGCATGCAAGTGAATCATCCTGCTGAAGTCACCCATCAAGGTACTCATGCAYTTCAGTGGTGGCAGGACTGGGCCCATAGGATTACCAGTGTTAATTGATTGAGTTTTTGTCTTTTCCTGTGCAATGTCCAAAATAGCACAGCAGGGTTTTATTCTCCATGGCAGGTGAGACACAGCTTGTCTATCCAAGCTGCTGCCATTTATGGGCCAGATCCYGTGCTTGGCTGCACAATCAGCTCCCTTGGGAGTACACAGGAGTGGCAAATGYGTATTCCCCAAAGTTGCTGAAGCAGAGAAGAGCAGTAAAGAGAGACTTACTGAGGGAGGTGGGGACTCCCGGCCAATGAGCGGGGTATTCTCGCAACGGGGGTTCTGGAAATTTGCATTCTGGCTCCTAGGAAAGGAAGACACACATGGTAACGGGGCACGTGCCATGCTTCTCTGGGGAAGGTCTCTGATGGGGACACAGGACAGAGAATCCTCACCCCAGAACTACAGTATCAGGCCAGTCTCCTTTGAAATTTTTCTTACAGGCCAGGTGGATCCCCCCTTTTTCAGACAAGGGCACAAAACTATCATCATTTTCCTCAGACTGAGCACTATTTTTACATTCTTACTCAGAAGGGCCCATAATGAATCACATCAAGTGATTTAAAAATAGGTCCTTGTGAAAATCTGCCTCCCTGCAGCATCAGAACTGCCAARTGGCAGAAATGGAGATAAAATGAGGACAACGTCTAAGGGGACAAACAAATTGATGTGGCAGCCCAAAAAAAGATGGGCCCTGGTGATAGTCCAAATGTGGTCGGGGTTAGGCACTTCTGGAGAACGCTCTGAAGATCCCACCTGAACCAGGTAGCTCCAAACTGCAACAGGTGTCAGAGCTGACTGCAAATACTGTAAAAACAGAGAGCCTACAGGTTTTGTCTTGGCTCTCAGTCTCTTGGGAGGCTCCTGGCAAGACTGCTCTGTCTGAAGAATTAACTATTCTGGTAATGAGAATCATTGTGTAATAAGAAGTCCAGGCAATACTTTTCCAAGTCCTGGAGACAAAGCCTACTTTCCCAAGTTCTGGAGCACGAAGCTGTTCACATTTTGGAGCATGCTGTCTAATAAAACTCTTTCTAGTGCAGCACTTTCAAGCTATTCCCTTCTCCCATTGTATGTCAATCAGAAAACAAAATCCTTCTTAGCTTTTTACCACTTGGTCCGAAGTGCCAACCTTGAAGCACTYGTGCCAACAGAAATGAGAAGAAAGCAATGTGGAGAAGCTTCTGTGGGGATACTCACATGTACTCCGTGACGGGAGCATTGCTGACTGTGTGTGCTGCTGCTGGAATGCTGGTCTCACTGCCATAACTACTCCCACAGCTATAGAGGCTGGGCATGTGCACTCTGTACAGATTATCGTGTGTCTGTCTACTCCCTTGAGCAGCTGATTCGTCTTCCCCATCATCATCTGAGCCTCTGCAAGAAGGAGAAAAAGTTCCCCACTAGAACCCTACAATCACCCCACATGTGGGGTTTGCAGGAAGCCATGGTAATCCTAGGAACATCCCCACCATCTTCCACACCTCCACACTCATACCCATTTGGGATGCCTCAGGGTGGCAGTGTGAAACACAGCCCACAGCACAGTGACTCAGACCTCCCACAGATCCCATCTGGAGGTGCTCACTGCGTGATCCCCTCCAGCCTCCCTCTGCCTTCTCTCAGGGCTTGGCAGACAGCACTGGGCTGCAACTGGCCAGTCGTACAACCACAGGATGGGCACACATCCCAGAATATACAGCACTAARAAAACCCAATAAACAACAAAAAAGAGAGGCAGTGGGGATGCAGTGCCATGCACCCCACAGAAACATCCTTCAAAACTGCAATCTGTGTCCTGCCATTTCTTGTAGATACAATCAAAGAGCTCTTAAGGATAAGCCTCTGTAGATTTCTCTGAACTCTCATTCTGGTTGCAAAGGGTCAGCTTCAGCTTCTAGCAAAATCACAGAAGTATTTACAGAGACTAACTTGCAAAATTTGTATCTAAAGGCTTTATCCTCTAAAAAATGTCAGGATTTTAAATCAATGGAGAGTAGAACTGTTTGCCAGCTGGTTCCTTCTACCTTCCCATAGCATTCTCTTGCTCCTCCTATATAATACCCACTGCTATTTCACCTCCCTAATTAGGGGGTGGAGCACCAAGATCCGACATACATTAAATCTGTGCTTGTCAAAGCTAGTGAAAGGTTCCACACAGCACAGACCTCACCAGAACCTCCCAAACATCACCTGCAGCTTCTGCACCACACGGTGGCACTGAAGATCGGGGAATTGCAGCCTGCACAGTCCCTTACAGGCAACCAAGTATGACATCCTCCACCTCCCAGAGGGAGGCAGAGGGAGAAATGGTGCTCCAGGGAATGCAGGAGGGAACCCTTCAGCTCACAGCAGCAGCCTGAGCCTGCTGGGCTTGGCAGGGCAGGCAGCAGCCCACAGGGAAGGCACCAAGAGATGCCACTGGATAAACCTTTCTCCTTCTGGCAGGCAGGCTGCCGTACCTTCATGGTGAGGTCTCTGCAGCTGCCTGTGGCAGAAGTGAGGAACCAGGGGCTATTGTGACACACTTCCCAAGGCCACTTCTCTGTGGGCACTGCAGGCTGGGCCACCTCTGGTTTCCTGTTATTGCTCAGGGCATTCTATTTTACCACAAAAATCATGGCCACAGAAGAGAATTTGCTGCAGTCTATTGCTCTTCTGCAAACTCAATGCTATTTTAACAGCTGCGTGTGGTGCAGCAGAGAGTCAGTGAAGCAAAGGTTTGCTAAAGACTGATCAATGTTGTTACCATCATTAACACCAGTTCCAATTTGCAAGTGTCTCACCTGCCCATGCTATTGACAACAAGACAGTTCYTGCTTTCCATTAGCTGTGCAAGTCAGTCACCACAGCACGAGCAAAGCTAAAAGGGCAAGTGTAAACTGCTTCTTATTCCAACAGTAGAACAAATGCCTCAAAGCAATGTAAGAGAATAAGAATTTTACAGAGAGAGCAATAGTTCAAGCATTACCTCTGTATTACAGCTATAATCATTCATCTGACTTGACACACAGTCCTACAGTGTACTGAATACTCTGCACACAGAGCACCCCGGTGCAATAAGGTTCAGATGTTAGTATAAACCACAGCCAGAGCAAAACATAACCTTTTTTTTTTTTTCTGTTAGACCTGTGCTTAAAAGCCTCATCCCTCACACTCCTGGGATCATGTGGGAATRAGCTCCATATGCTCGTGGGCACAAATCCAACAGCCAGTCTTCACTGGGAAAGAGCTCTACAATGCTCCAGGATCTAAGCCCTCTCTGTACCTCTTTTGCTGCCAAGTGTGTGGGACGCTGCAGACAATGGAACTGAACATGAGGGCAGTGACAAAGGAGAAGAGAACCAGGTAGATGAGGCCTTCCACTCCATCATAGCAGAAGCCTGTCAGAGCCTGGACATAATCCTGCAGAGARAAAGGAGCAGAGTTTCCATAACTACAGAGTTAACATTGAGCTCTAACTAACAAGCCCTTCTCCAGACTACACTCYCTGAAACAACTTACAGATATAGACATTGCACTCCCTTTTCTAGAGCGTATTTCTATTTTAATTTCAGAGACTCGAGTGTTTTTCATAAACGATCTAACCCTTGTTTCTCCTCCCAAAGACCAGCTTGGATTTAGACATAGAAATATTTTCAACCACCCACAATCAGACTTTAAGAGGAACAAAAATAAACAGCCACAGCAAGTTTACCCAYCCAACTGAAGATATATTTTTCATTAAGCCTCCCAGCTCCCTCACAATGCCCCATGCCCAAGAACAGAAGCATGGACTGTCTGTGTCTGCCTTTAGAGGGGCAGTGAGGACAACAGTGAGGCCACGCTACACTGCTCTAAGTTCTCCAACACACTGTACTCCATGCGAAAGGCAACAAGTTATTTATTATATACAAAAACCCCTAAACCTGAAGGCCTCTTTGTTTGCAGCTTGTAGATAAAGCACGTAGTTTCCTACATCGATCTTTAAACTGAAAGCTAACTTGATCCAAGTTCTCATTCCCCTTTCTGCTGGAATCAATAAGCAAAAAGCTGTTGTAAACTGTTCTGGCTGGCCAGAGATTTAGAAATCTGAGCTAATACAGGTTCTACATCCCCTTTGATCTTTCCCAGCTCAAGCCCAGTTACCAAGAACTCACCAAATGCAGACTCCGACAGTCTACTAAAGCTGTCAGCTGCTGCAAGTTGATCTCTGTTGTATTCAAAACCTCCTGGATCCGAGTAAGGTACTCCTGTAAGCAACAAGTGAGTGATTACTGCAAGGGAATGCTCAGCAGGAGCTGACTCTGGGTTCTGTGCAAGGTTGGGGGAAGCCACAAAAAACAGGAGAGCAAATTTGAGGAGAGTTACCTTGGAGGTGGGGTGCTCCTTGGTYGCTGACCTCATGAGCTCCGACACATCATCCTGCATTTCTACCAGAGCCTTGTGACTTCCTGACAGCTTCTGCTCAACACAAAACAGGCAATGTTTCAGCAGTTCAAGCCATATGGACCATTTCTCCTGGGAAATGACTGAAATCCTACTTCCCAAATACTGAAGCATCATCTGTATGAATGGTACAATTTAAAGTTGTCCCAACTGACATGAGTGCAGCTGCAATAGGGTTAAGTTTGATTTTTACCAAACTGGAAGAGGTACAGACAGAAAGAAGAGGAGAAGGGAAGAACTAAAAGAAAAAAAAAAAAAACCAAACTGGAAGAGGTACAGACAGAAAGGAGAAGGGAAGAACCAAAAGAAAAAAAAAACCCACAAATCCACAAACAAAGAACATAATACATACACAAAAAATGTACACACAGCTGGGGCTGGCTCTAGGACAGAAAGGAAGGAGAAAGAAAAGACACAAAGCACTCAAGTTCTCACCACAGAACACAGCTGGATTTTTTTGCTAAATCAGATGGATGAGAAAGACATAATATTAACAGTAGAAGTTGTTTGTATYAGGGTGCAGCCTTCACATCCTTTTAAAATCACCCATGAGAATTTCACATGCAATAGCACGTCAGGGAGTAAATGGAGCAACCAGAAATGCAACAGATGGCAGAGGTGCATCAAACCACAGCCTGAAGTGTTCTTATCCCATCCTTTCAAAGAGAGGAAGGCAAGATTTAAAAAAAATCCTAAATATAAATGGGTGAAGCAGCGSTGTCTGCCAAATGGTGGGTGGTGTGGGCCCGTCCTGGCCTCTGATACACACGACAAAGCCTGGAATGGGCCCAGGTGCTGCTCTTCTGCCCCCACACAAAAGAACAATGACTCACATTTACACTTCGGGATAAATCCCTTGGATGTTCAAAGGTTTGTAAGAGGCATCTGTGAAAAACACTCCTTCACCCACAGAAGTGACTGCATTTTGGGAGTGGAGTGTTACCACTGTTTAACCCAAAAGAACTTCCAAGGAGAGAGTCAAAGGAGGAATTACAGAGTTTCCCAACCTGGCATTAATTGTGGTGTTATCTCCACGTTGCTGCTCTTTAGGCAAGTGCCTTGTAAACAGAGGTGCCACAAACAAAGCCATGGCCCTCACCRTATTACACACAAGCTGTTCTAAGGGGTGTCCTGGACATGAAGCTGTGTAGGTCTTGATAAAGTTGGAGAAAACTCCTCACTGAATCACAGTGCCACCTCCTGCACAGTGGGGAAGTGGCTGCCAAAGCTTTGCCAACAGYCAGAGAGCTCCCTAAAGCAAACACCCTGTAACTGGCATCAGGAGCACTGAATCTGCACCCTGCAGGGTGAGAAGACCCAGGGGTGGAAGGAGTTAGGRTGCTGACACTCACCTGCTGGAAAGGGTTGGGGTATCCAGCACTACAGGTCATGTAATAGCGCATAGTCTCTGTGAAGACACAAGAGAAGAAAGTCAAGTCAGACACATCGTTCCATCTTTGACATGTTCCTGTATATTTTAAACCAGTGAAAGGCAATGGGTCTGCTCCACCTAAAGTCAGATGAAGCACAGAAAAGGTTTTGTTCAGAAGTTGGCACCATCCACTGTATAAACCTAGGACAAGACACCAATCTAAGTTAAATCCAACTACAGTGAAGATATACTCATGAATTTCCAGATAAGACTATTACTGTGCTCTGCTAACAGCATCATTTCTTTCCAGGGTTGAACACACAGCTGTGTTCCTCTTCATTTAGATGTGTATGAAACCACCCTGGTGCCCTCATGAGCCCTCTACAATACTACACCAACTGCCAGCACACTCAAATTACAAATACCAGGCTTTCCCCTGCCATCCTCAATAACGTTATCAAGGAAGGGAGCTCTGAAAGACTTGATCAACCAAATACCTTTAGATTATTCCTCAAACATTTACAGTACTTCTTCAGATGAATATGAGCATGCCAGCTCAGCAAAATCAAGGGTGATGAACGCATGGTAAAAATTACAAAAGCCCTAAAACACACAAAGCCTCTACATTCCCCCTCCACCAGCATTTTTTTCCTCCWTTCTTTTTAATCTTCTGTCTGTGACTTTCAGTGATGCATATTCCAGRCTGCACAGCCATTCTGATGGGTCCCAACTCAGAAATCAGTAAAAGGCACAACCAGAAGCAGAGCCGTGAAGGAAGCAGACCTGACTGTATCCTGACTGTGCCATTCTTCCCATAAATATTGAATGCACCTTTCGGCAAGGCAGCACGCTGGAGACCAAGTGCTACAACACAGCCTGTCAGCCCGTGTGTGCTGGCAATGCAACCTGACAGCTGTTATTTATAATTCATTAGCCTTCTCTGGGGCAGCTCCTGCCAGCTGCTCCATCTCCCTCCCACCGACTCCTTCTCTGGGATGAGTTACATCTCCCCAGCCAAACCTCTAAACAGCAATTAGCAAATTCTGGGCAGACAGGAGGGCAGCAAGGAGGGCTTTGTGCCTCACTTTGGGCAGACCGCAGAAGTGACTGTCCACARCTACCGAGCCAAGGAAAGGGCTGTTCCTACCCGCTCATAAATCACACTCCATGGCTGAGTGAAAATGGATTAAAACACACCTGCACTGAGAGAACAACACAGCAACCCACATGGTGACCCAAAGGAGCTGTGATCTTGTCACCTATTTATTTTAAACCAACAAACCACTGGAAGTTTCTCTTAAGCTCCCACAGTGATATCAAGTTTACATTGCCTTTGTAAGTGCAATAAGYTGCATGACATACTGCTAATGCAGAGCTCTAGAAATGTTTCTTRAGGGCCTTCTGGATCGTCCCTGGTGGGCAGATTAGAGATGAGTTCCTGATACCATAGTTTGCAGCTTGTAAGCCCAGGATAAAGATTGCTGGTTACAAGCAAAGCAAAAAGCAGTACAGTGAAATAAGTGCTTGCCTTACTTCACCCTGGAAGGCAGGATCAACAAGGATTCACTGTGGTAGCACTGGCTTTGCTGCTGACAAGTGTGACACTCTACATAAAACATGCTTCCCAAAATGGCACAGCCATCAGGAGCAGCTTTCCCCTGCATGAACCCAAGCTGTGGTGCTTTAAATCTGTGGCTACATCGGGCAGTGGGGATGCTTTAAGGAGATTCTATGTTGCAAAGCCTGGAAATCAATGTCCCCTGCCTCGATACCACCAGTAAAATAGGAAAGAGCAGGAGGCACATTCACCTGTTTTAAACCTGGTGGATGCTGTCCTGTACATCACCAAATCTCATGTTTCTGACCAGAAAACAGCTATGYTAATCCATCATTTCCACTTTGCTAACAGCTCCGGGCAATTTMTTTCTATAATTATCTTTCTGATGCATTTTCCTCTCAAGGAAAATTCCTGAAGGTTGGTCTGATTTTTGAAGCTGGCCTTTAGGCAATCTAGTTCATAGCAGAAGGGTTAGGCAGGGTCACATCTGCAGCTGCCCATGCCTGCTGTTGCTAGCAGCAATCCTCCTGACTCACTCTCAGTGCACAGGCATTGTGGGAGCAGAAGGCAAGGAAGGGAACTACCTAAAATGCTTTATTTTTGCAAAGTCTGTTTTTCCTAGAAAGGAAAGTCGAGCTTCCTACTAAAGACAGCTTCAGCTGCTAGAACTACTTACTGCTTCTGCAACCATGGAGACTTACTACTCACTTCAAAGCCCAGCCAAAATGCAAAAATGGCATTATGCACCCACCAAAAGGCAGTGAGATGGTCTGTAGGGAGCAATCAGAAAAAAATCCTAGCTCAAAAATAAACCCTCATACCTAGAACAGCTTTTCCCAGCTTTTCTTCATCTCCAACTGAGCATTCTTTAAAGCAGTGCTCATTTGGCCTATACACCCAGATGAGGCTGTYTCTGTGGGTTCAATCATCAGAGAAAGCCCCTGTGGGGTCAAAGGAAAGCAGCTCCTTTGGCTGGGGTTTCTTGTCCAGGTAACACATTCTCCACCAGGAGTTTTACTTCCTCAAGGCACCAGTCTGACAGCAAAGGGAGGGATCTGCATAACAYTGAATTTCTCTGATACATCCTACTCTTGTATTAGTGAAAGCAAAGAGCTTCTAACTCCAAGCTTTCTGCTATCAKGAGTCCAACAAAACCAGGCAGGAAATCAGCTTCTCAATGCCAACATCACCTCAGCACGATTCTCAAGAGCACTTTGGGCACATTCTTTACTGCAGTCTACTCTGCTCAGGTAATAACTGTGCAGAACCAATGCCCCACCTGAGTTTTGTCCTGATCTTACTTCTAGAGAGGAAACAGAGGTGCTGATGGTGTCAGTTCTTTGGYTCATTCAGCTCTGGACTTCTATGATGAGACTGCATCAGTGAGAGGCCAATTAAGAGGTTGGGCATGACCAGAACCCTCCCTGCTTTTATCTGAGCAGCCAAGCCTCAGCATCCAGCCTGACCAGCTSGGCTGGACTGGAGCTAAAAGGCTCCATTATCCATCCCCTGAGGTTTACAGCTCCCTCGGATGAAGAGAGTGGCTGTTCACCGYGCAGATTTGTGGTGAGAGAATCTGGAGAAAGCTCTTCCTGTTGTTGGGACAGATTGTGCTTTTTTATTTAATTTTATGCAACAAGTCATCTGATAATAACATAATATCAATGAAAAAGAATGGGACTAGAAGATGGCCTCCTGCTTTGAAAATAAACATCTTGGCTGCACCAAGTCTCTTTACTAACAGCGGGAGCTGATTATACAGCCACTGTTCAACTCCATTGGCTTTATCTCAGTTAATGAATACGGGGTGAGTTAGGCACATACATCAGCCTCTTCTGCAAAATTATTTAAGTATTTCCTTCTCCAGGAAACCTGCATTAAGGTTCTTTGCTTCCCTTTTCTTCCCCCATGATTTTTTTTTTAATGCAGCACATTTTATCTGCAAAACAAGAACATCTCCTCTCTAGCTAAAAACATGACAGTAATAATGCACTTAATCAGATTAKTCTCAGCTCCATTAATTCCATTTAGATTTCAAAACAGCAATTAATACATAAACAGGAATATTAACATACCCGTTGCCTAGTATTCAACTCAGTTATTTTTCTGTGAAAACTACAACCACCACCAGCAAAAGCACATTGCAAATATCGATGACTCAGCCCCAGTCTGAATGTCAGARCATAGAGGATCTCACAATATACTGTATGTAACAACATACAATAATAACTAGAAATAGTGATTAAAGAGAAAAATGGACCCAGCTCTATCAARCTTCCTAGGATTATTCGTTGGTTCTGTCTCCTGGAGCTCAGCACTCTCACTCTCACTGTACATATGGCTCAACTGATCACAAAGCAGCTGCTACAATTTACAGCCAAKGGATACTAAGACTTGTTCCAGACTTTTAAAGATGTTTTATTTGGATTAAAGTGTCATTGCCACACTGCAGTCCTCATGTCGTGATTTTCCTTCCTGCTCAGATGCTCAGGAAGGTCTCACCATTGGGCACCAAGAGCTATTTCCATAACTTCCTGATCATAAACTATGACACAGCAGTGAAAACTCACATGGGTAGACAGAAGATTCAATCATCTCCCAACCAGCTGCCTGGTGCAATGGCAGGCTCAGAAGTGGGACAGATATCCTTCTGGAGAAAGGAAAAKGAGCTCACCAACACTCCAGGGTGYCTGGCAGGAGGAGCTGACACACATCACCCATGGAGGGGCCACCTTTCTGACCARGCCTGTGGCAACACCTGCTCTTCCWCCTCTTCACYGTTTCCCTTAGACCCATTCACTGTTATTTATGGAGCTGTAACAACTGTTAGATGGYGGTGCTGMAGGAGCAGAGCCTGTTCTCCCCCAGGGGAGCCAACTGTCCTTGCAGGGGAATGCAGGAGGGGGGATGGAATGTCAGCCCCACACTCCCKGTTAGCCTCCAAACCAATGATACTGATCAATGCAAAACCACAGGAGCCCAGCAGACAAGGGCAACTGAAATGGAGAAGTAGCACAAAGGGCCTTTCTTTCATTTCCCAGGGTCAATCTAATCRCTACCAAACATGCTCCAGAGCTGATCTGGGTTACCAAACTATCACAGCACACAGCTGGCATTAACATCAGATATTTCCCCTTGGCCTCACTGACCCACTTGCCTCCGTGAACAACCAGGAAACCAGCTTGGCACRTGAAGCCACATCTTTGTCACCTTCACAGCCAAGAGAGGATTTTCATCTTATGCTAAACACTCATTCTCTTCCCTCACTGCATTTCTTTGTTGCAAAGAGAGCTGCCTGGCTCTATAATCTCCTTCCCAGGAAATCAATAAATAAGGCATTCCAAAAATAAGCTGCAGGGTTGCAAYATCAACCTGTACAAATTCTTTTATACTACATTCTGCCTCCAGACATAAACTTTTTCTATTGTTTCCAATCCCTGCATCCTCAGCCATAGCTACGTACCTAACTTCCTACCAGCTGCACAGTGAGAGACACATTTGGGTAAGCACAGAGCCATACATTAGACCTTCTGCACACAGAGCAAAAATTCTCTGGTTCCACCAAATAAGAACTAGAAAAAACACAAGTTGCTCCTTGTGCAAATAATGTCATTGCCTATTTGTGTTTTACCATACACAGAACTACATAATGGAACTAYTGGGGGAGAGAAGGCAGGAAARAAAAAGTTAACTTTGTTAACTAAGMAGCAAACTYAGTCCTAAAATAACTTTTCCTCTTCAGCACTTATTGTATCTCTGCTGACAGGCACCCAACCACCTTTCTGTTAAGCCATGGTTYTGCATGACATCTTTGCCCCACTGAGGTTCAAACTGGAGGCACCCTCACCTTACCAACCACTTCAGTCTAAATTAGGAGCAAAAAACCCCAAATATATCAGGGCTTCAGCTGGATGCCATTGTAACACAGGCACATGCTTTAAGTGGAACAGGACACACAAAGTGGTCAAAATATTGCATTTACAATGGCAAGGGAAATTTAGACTTCTTTGTGGCAGTTTCCATTCACTTACCTTTCCAAAGCTGCTATTTATGGCCACCATTAGGTGAAAAAAATTATATATAAATTTGTAGGTAACACAGATATAAAAGTAAATATTCTGGATTCAGGAATACAGACCCAAAAGCAAGTTTTAAAAATGACAACTCAAACTGCACACTGCTACTGCCACAGTTCTATCACTTAGAGAGGAGAACAAGACTCAAGAGTGCTACACTTAAAGAAAATAATCCATGGAGTTCTGTTCCATTCTGTCAGCTATTTCTATCTAAGAGTCCAGGCAGAAGAAAGGTTCTGAAGGTGGTTCTGTACACTTCTGACCAGAATGTTTTTTTTCCCAGAGCTCAACACATATTTTTTCCCAATGTACGTCAGCTCCTCTGTTTCAAACACAGCCTAAAATTCTCAGTCACTGCCATGCTGCTGTGTGACAGCTTGAGCTGCAGAACCCCATGCCAAAGCCAGTCCCAGCACTTACCAGCACTGAGCACTGCATTCTCTTCAATCACTTTGGAGACRTAAGCATCAGGGTTGATACAGAAGTCACTGGAGCCCTGGACAGRTGGAAGACAAAAAGCCAAAGGAATATCAAAGCACATCAGCATCAAAGAGCAGTTGGGCCAGGTAAACATCAGGGAACCTTCTATTCTAGGGGTGTTTCAGATGCTGAAATCTCTCATCACCATCCCCACCAACACTGCTTTACACAACCACAGCAGTGTCAGAGTATGAGCTACCACACCACACCACAGAGAAGGAGCAGCTCCGTGCTTTTCCTGATGGGAATTGCTAGGACAGTTACTTAGATCAGGACATGCTATAAAACAGGATAAAATTAATCTGGCGCCTGCTAAACCTGCAGCAAAGGGTGAATGGGATTTGGATGTGAGCCACTTACCACAGCGACAGCCAGCTCCAGGCCCAGGGATCCCCAGCTGACAATCAGGGCAAACACCCCAAGCAAGCACACCCTGTGGGAGACAGACAGATGGCAGATGTAGCAGCCCTGATTTCAAGCAGTTCCTTTCACAAGATGTATTATTTGGAGTCCAAAGCAATTACCAAACCCATGAAATTATCAACCACTGACTGTATTTTCAGATAAACAATCCTATTTTRGATGTCATGGACAGCAGCAACCAGACAAGTTCATGTCCAGCAGTTGGTTACCATGCTACCTGCCCTGGAGCTGCAGGGGAAGGCAGAAATAAGGAAGCAAAGTATTATCCTGGTCCTAGAAGGGAAACCAAAGGCACAAAAACACAGATGTGGCTGTAGGGGGCAGATTGGCAGGTGGTTGGATACAGTCCCATCACTTTCACTGYTCCCATTCTGAACTTCATTTTCCAGGTCCAAAGATACTCAAAGAAAAAYATGCTAAATAAAGAAAAYCCCACAAAACCATACTGATCCAAAWYTGGAGAAATCTCTCSTGTGTCTACAGCAAATGAGGCTGTTGGGTGTGATCACTACACAGCTACAGATGGTGGAAGGCACTCCAGCCCCTGTTAGGACACCTTGGTTCCAAGCTGAGGCATATGAACAGCACCAAAACATCCCACATAGCTCCAGGAGAGAGACAGTCACCTGCAGGTGAACAGCTTGGAACAACAATTTAGGTGCCTGCCACTGCCCTGTGAGTCCATCTCTGCACAGATTTAAGTTTTGTTCTGACAGCTGGACCTCATTACTGACAGAAATAGTGGGAAGTGTCTGCTGTCAAGCAGACACAAGGCAGAGGGATGACAGAGCAGTGGTCTCAGTGACATTCAGCAAGCACACACTCACAGAAAAGGCCTTTGCACTTGCCCAACCAGCAGATTAGCTCTTCACCCTTGCTGTCAGTATGAGTGGTAGAGATATTTAGGCTATAGYGCTCCCAACTCCCCCAGGTATAGGGCTGCAGACTAATAAGCAGTTTCATTTTATCTGTCTCTATCTTCAAAGTAAAGAGACACTGGCTTGCTCTCTTAGGGATGCTTTCTCCCTCAGGCTTTGAAACACAAGTASATCCCTTTCCACCCACACCCTGAACAATGCAAAAACCTGTTCATAACCAAGATATTCTTTATTCAAACCTAGGACAAGCATCTCTGTGAGGAAGGACATATATTTTTTGTGCTACATTTGTCTCACTGAATACTAGAGCTTTAAAAAATAAACCTGTAGATCTCCATTAAAAAAAAAAAACCCCTATCCCTTGATTTACCAACTTATTTTAATTCCAAATAATCCCTATTCTGTGAATGGATCTGTGCCTCATCTTGCAGAAGCAAGGGAGTTTCACCAGACTGACATCTGCGCTGCATTCTGAAATGAGACACTAAAGACTTTATTATGCCTTTTCCAAATGGATGCAAAAATTATCAGCCATGGATCAGCAAGGTTCTGTGGGTTTATGACATAAGGACAACACAGCTTGGTGCCTCCAGCTGAGCATGTTAATCAATAAGACACATTTGTTGTTTTACTTTAAATGAAGATGACTGGGTCAGCAACTGATTGCTTGGCTAAAAGATCTAAAACTGGCATTTCACCATCTTGCCTGGCTGTGATACACTTGTTTCTCTATGCCATGTGCTCCCTTTAGGGAATGCCTTAATATGAACTTCTGGCTAACGGGGAATGAGATTCTAATTTAAACCCTGGGTTTGCCATCTGTGCATGCACTTGGACTTTCGTCTGCATAACCTGCCAGGTATGAAATCATCTGGTAAATAATAAATCTGAATACACATTCCAATTATTAATGGCATCACCACGTACCAAACCCTTTGGCCATGTCAGTTATCAAACTGTCACTRTGTTTATGATACCTGTATCTTTGCCAAATATGCCGAGCTACAAGATTGGGAGAGGAAGTTTTTTCCTGTAGTGGGGCATTTTCAGTGTTTTTTAAAAACAGACATGCATTAATATTGCAGTACCATGGCAACAAGACTCCTTCTCATAACTGTGCAAGCCACTGCTCGCTCTCAGTTTAACATTTCCTCAGGTGTGACAGCCCCAGGTATCAAGAGCAGACAGTGACACAAGGCAGTGCCACCAGGTTGTGTGGACACGTGCAATGCTTATCAATTAACAAATGCCTTCCCAACTGCAAAGAATTAAGGGGAGATTTTTAAAGCCTGTAATTTTAAGTAAGGATGATCACATTATTATCTCCCAGCAAATGGAGCCTTMCCATGCCACCCAGTGGAAAGCAGACTGCCCAGATGAGTTCCTCAACTCTGATGAGAAGGCAATGAACAACAGTAGCACCGCATTTTATAGCTCAAGAACCTCCCTGTGAACATCTCTTGAAGCCCTGTGAACATCTCATGAAGCCCTAACTATTTCAACTAAACTACAATCTACAATGTCTCTCTACTCAGAGGCAAATTTAAGATATTCAGTTTCAGATGTCTTTGATATCAGTTGACAACAGTCAGARGTTCCCACTAGCAGGCACTTGCATTCAGCTGACTTTGCTTATGCTCTGTCCCCAGGTCAGGACTTACCCCATAAGAATGGCCCTGGAGTTTCTAATGAGCCCAAAGAGCACCAGCAAACATATCAGGACATGAAACAGGAGCAGGCCCAGGTACCCCAGCCACCTGTAGCAAACAAAAACATGGTCTGCAAAGGAAAACTGGTGTGTGAAAAGCACAGATAAAAAAGTTATTGTGACTTATGGGGAAAACACAGCTCTTCTCCAAGGAAAATCCACCACTAAAGATTAATCTTCAGAGAGYTCTGGGTGTTTGTGGGATTGGGAATTGAGGCAGGAAAAAACATTTACACAACACGTTCAGCACAAACAGTTGTTGAGAAATGAGACTGTTAGTGTTTTCTAGAATAAAGTTATATGCACTGGTCATCATCAGAGAAAAAAAAGGCACTGCAGCTTCTTGAACTTCCTAGATATTTGTTAGGAAATGCTTCAGTTATTTATTCCACATGTTTGGATAGAGATTCTCTTTTGTGGAATACAACTGATTTTTATTAAACAGGTTTAATAAAAAGGAATGTTAGGGTGTGGTGTTAATTTACAGAASTAGTGCCATTTTCTACTCTATTTAATGTGTTCTTTATGCACTTATTAGGGCACAGCAGTAGCTTTATTTGGGGCTGGCTTTTTCCCCAGTGCTAGAATACAAACTCTAGATTTTGTACCCTGAGAATAAGTTGTTCTTCAGTTGGTGATAAAGACACTTAAGAACAAAAGCTGTGCATTTTGATTTAAACTGAACACAGTCATGCTGTAAGAAACAAATCAGCTGYGTGGGCCAAGAGCACCTGCAGCAACACAGAGCCTTTGGCTCAGCCATCCAGAACAWGCACATAATTTTTGCAAAACAGGCCAAAGCAGATGCTGTAATCACTACACTACAGCATGCTACACACCTGTACCAGTCATAGAGGTCAATCTGAATTGCCAGCTCCTCCAGAGACAGCTCATCATTCTTCCAAAAGGGGATCTCAGTTGTTTGCCTGACCAGATCATCCAAGAGACTTTGCAGTTTCTGGACAATATGCAGGTAGTCTGTCTGCTTTTTGAACATCTCCTCCAGGACAAGCAAGTTTGGTTCCACTGTTTGGTTCAGGGCCACTGAAGTGTCCAGAACCTACAGTATGGGAAAGAAAAAGAGGAATAAACAAATTAAAAAAAAAATTAAAGTACTGGAAGCCAAGGAAGTAAAAGGGAATTAATTCTAACTCCAAGTCATGGACAGCTTCCAGATTACCAGGCCTCTGTCTTAAGAGGCTCAGACTGCTTACCCTTCAAAAGCAACTTAAAAGYATCTACAGGGGAGATTGTTTGCAAGTAGCCCAGTGATGGCACCTCAGCTGAGCCTTAACACATGGACACATTTTGYAGCCATCAGGGTTGCAGCATGAGACCATGGAATTAGAGATAGCACAGGAACAACCAATGGTACTAAAATGCTACATTTTACTAAGATTTGTCTGCTTTGGTTTGCCTCCTCTTCCGGGTGTGGAAGAGAGAGCTGATCACAAGCTGTTTTTAAACCTAGCAAAGAGAAGACTTCATTTAACAAGCTGCGTTCGCTTGGTTATTTTTAGAAGAGCGGAAGAAATCACCCCGCCACTAATGGAAATTTTAGCACATCTCTAAGCCCAGATACGAAGAGAAAACAGGAAGAGACACAGGCACAGCCAGATTCAAGAGGAAAGGCGCTGAGTGAGTCTGCTGACTGCCACAACACCCATTTTTGGGGGGCTCACCCGGTCCTGGACGCCGGCCACGGTGCGGTTGGCATGGCGCAGCGAGTACGTCAGCCGGTGGATGCCGTCACTGGTCTCCCCATTGCCGTAGAAGCCGACAGCAATTCCAGCACTGTGGAGAAAGAAAGCAGTAAAGGGGAGAGGTGAAGCCAAAAGGAAAGTGTGCAACACAGGGATTATGGCTACAAAGCCCTGGGTAGACACGGCAGCACCTTCCAGAGGAAGGGAAGCTCCTCCAAAACGAGCTGGGATCATCCTACCCCTCAGCAACCACTGAAAAAAAACATCTTAAACATTCACAGCCACCACTTCTCCAAATAACATCCATATGATGAAGAACACAACACAACACGCATATTTCATTTACAGTAAAATAATGAAAATCTGTTAGAGGACTGTTTGRGAGCTCAGGTCCAGCCATGGACAACCAGAAATCCAGCCAGGCAGCTTTCCAGTGGCTACCATTGCTGTGCCAGGAGACACGTGGACATGAAATACAGATTATTTTGTTACATTTTTTAAAAGCAGGACACAAAAGGCTTGCTTTGACTGCTTGCCCATGGTGGTGGTTCCCYCAGATACATTTTCCATGCCCTTTTCTCTACCCTGTGAAATATCTATGAACATTATCTTGATTTATCTTCCCATTAGAAACATTTGTGTCACACTGATTTAGAGTACTGGGAAGGGAGGCTTAATAACTTACTGGGACAAAAGGCTTATTTATTTTTAAAGCAAGCGAATTTCAAGCTTGSACACACAATTCAACTCCAGCTGCTTAGCAAATTACCACCCATCAGTTGATTTTCCATAACTGTCCACACATATCAGTCTGCCCCAATTATGAGGTAAACCATATTAGCTTAAGCCTCACTTAAAGAAGGAAGATCCTGTAAATGAGTTGCAACCAGAGGATTATCTCATGCAAGTCAGCAACATCTCTTCTATTAAGAGATCGCTGTAGGAACTCACAGTTCCTTTTCCCAAGCCCATATTTCCTAATAATAGAGRAGGAAAGAACTTGTGAAGGGATCACACAACTAAACTCAGGGCAAACAAATGTTACCAACACAGATTTTCTGTTCTTATGTTATATTTAGTTTGAGAGCACCCAGRATCTTCCCTAGGAAGGTTCTCAAGACACCAAGGTTGTGTTTGTGGCAGTGCAAAGGAAGGTGGTGGTGATGATCCTGTTGTAAATCTGAAGTTATTCTGGATGAAACATTTAGGTCCTTCACAACACTTTTGCTCTTGCTCCTCTCCTGCAGGAAGACACATCCACCCCTCCTTTCCTGGGCTCATCAGCTTCAAACGAGTGAGCAGAACACTGTAGTTTACCTGGTTGTATTTCTCCTCATACGTGACAAGAAATAGAAGCAAAGATCATGAACTGGAAGCAGACCCACTAGGAAAATCTGTGTCAGCCTCCTGCTTTTTCCAGCAATTGAATCTCCATAAATTATAGAGAGCTTGGCCCATAAAAACCTCAGCTGTGGAGTCTTCTAGGGACAAGAGGCAGCCTTCATATAYAGAAAGAGAGGCAGCAGCCATGCAACTAAATATTTAGCATTAATACAAAAAATAAGCCTCTTTCTTCAGGAACACCATTCCTCAAACATCTTCCTAATGCAAATTATGCTGATAACTAAAGAGAGAAAAGCCCTCTGCATTCCTCCCYGGTTGCAGCTATTATCAGTGCTTGATAAGGCATGCCTGGGGTGCATGGGGGTGGAGGGGATAAAAAAAATAAAAAAACACGCTCCCCCCTCCCCTTGAAGAAGAGAGATTACAGATGCAGAGCTATGCCCAGGATAAGGCAACTCAGCATCCCACCACAGGAATTGCAAAACCGTGGCTTGAATTTGCCCTTGTCTTATCAGAGCAAAGAGATTCAGACCCTTTCAGCCTCCCAAGCTGCAGAAAATGCTGTTATTTCTACTATAGGCACCAAATAAATTCCAGAACATTCTTGACATTGAATAGGCAGATCTGACCCCTTTAATTAGCGAGCAATTTCTATTCAGCCTGTTACAGCTACTAGAAGCCTATTCTTCCAGCAAAGACTTGGTAAGTGCCCAAAATCTGCTGCTTGGCTTTCAGTATTCCCAGCACAGTAGCACAATTTCGGTGGGAAAGCCTCAGAAACAGCACTGAGAAGGAGCAGCAGATTCCTTGTCCTTGGGGATGCTGCACTGAGAGGTACCTCAGCCAGTTTGGTCACAGGTACCAAGTGTGAAGTGCTGGGACCTACAGACAAGTGCCTTTAAACTCATCCTGTTGGAGGCAGATCTASCCCAGCAGCTCTCCACAGGCTTCCCATCCTGCCCAGTACAAACCACAGCTCCCACTGCCCCAACCCTCCAGGCACAATCCCCACTCCTGACAGAAAACACCACAGCACAAAAATTGGGATAAAAGCCATTTAATCCAGGTAATAAACTCCTCTAGACACGTGACTCACACATTCACTGTGAATTAGACATAAAGCATTAATTATTCCATTCCTGTCCTGCAAAAGCCAGCTCTGCATTCACACCCTGTGCTAGCAAGGGCCACTTACACAGCCAGTCCTTCCTCTAGGAGCAAACCATGCAATTTTGTGGCAGTTCCCCTTCCTAGAAGGGCAGAAAGGAAAGGAACCCATCCCACAAGCCTGGGCTGGGGCAGAGCTGAAGGGCAGGCAGGGGGGAACTGCTGCTGCTTGGCTTTGTTTGCATTTGGCTTCATCTAAATCCAACAGTTGTTTCAAATCCCTGCCCACACACACTGATATGAGTTGCTATTGTTTAAAGCAGATTTAAGGATTTACACTAGTTTCTAACTACCTTTTATATGATTAAAGGGAAACAGAGGGGCTCCCTCTATTTAAGTGCATTCTTTTGAAATAAAAATAGATCAACTCATCTTAACCCAASAGCGTAAGTCCTCGGGGTCATGACAAATCACAAGGCTTCTTGCACGAACCCTGGAAGGCACAGTAGCCTAAGATATAGCAGATCCACCTCTCAGTAAAGGATGACAAAATCATCATCCAGTGGATGTATTTCTGTCACACAGCRTGGATACAAGAACAGCATTCCTGAATGACACAGCTCTTTCCCACCCTGGCACCCTCTGGAAGATACTCCAACACATTTTCAGTGCTTCTACAGGAAAGTCATCTCTATTTCTGCCATTCTYGCTTCTGTTGCACATGGGCTTTGGATCCCTCTTGATAAAGAACCAGAAAAAAACAAATGAAGTGTAATTCTAAATTTGCTTACATCATGACAAAAAAAAAAAGTTACTCTTTTTGGTTTCTACTTGCAAAAAAATCAAAAAATTTTCTGCATTTACACATGATGAACAGCAGAGCATTAATCTGACAGAGAGGATATTTGTGCCTTCTGGTGATGAGATCCTCCTGCTGTAATACCCACACACACACACTGTGACCCTCTGGGCACCCAGGCACCAGGCTGAAAAGATGAACACTAGCCATTCACATCACATCTTTAGAAATGAATAATCAAACTACACCAAGTCATCTTTAATTACAGGAACTTCATAAGAAGAGCCCTTTTTAGACTTCAAGTTCTCAGGAGGAATGTTAATTTGTCTGTCTAATTACCACCTTGCACTTTCGCACCAGGGGAAAGTGCTATTACTGGYACTTGATAAAGCAAGTTTTCACCATTTATTTGCACCCATTTCTTTCTAATACCATCTCCACAAAGCTTTCTCCCCACCTCCAGAGCTGAGCTCCCTTCAGGGAGAGTTAGGGTCACCTAACCAGTGGATAAAGTGGTTTGTAAGACAACTCCCCACACACAGAAACCAATCAAAACTGGTAGGGACTTGAACTGAAGTAAGCATTCATGGAACAATCTAGGCTAAGCATTCCTGCAGCTTTGTGGCTGGAGCAACTGGGAAGACTCATTAGAGACATTTTGTTGGAGAGCTCCTGTTAACCAGTTATGCCTCTCTGCTGGCTCAGCACTCTCCCTGTTGTGAGTCATTAGAAAACAGGGATCCCGAGCACACAGCAGCATTCCCAGCACAAACAGYCCCCTGGGACTGAGGAAACCCAGCTGGACTTCACCAGAGTGAAGCAGTTCTCAGCTAGGAAGATAACAGTCCACTTGCAAGCACTCAGACAGATCAGACCAGACCAGCTGCTGATTGGATCCTCTTGCTGTTTCAGCACCCAAACAGTGCCACAAAACTGCTCCCAGGACAGGCTCCTGTCAGAACAGCCTCACACCCCATTACAGCAGCTGCTGGTCTGCCTCTTCTGTTGTGTGTAACACAGAGCTGGGATAGGATAGGATATATCCACTGGGCTAATCTTTAATCTGTGCTAGCAGGAAGTCCCAGTTAGATAYCAACAGTTGGAGTCAGCTTGTCGGGAGCTGTGTCTGCATTCCCAGGCACAGACTGACCACAGARAGCCAACAGACTCTGGTTTGAGGGCACTGTGGCATCCAGCTGCTGTAGAGGGGCAAAAAACCAACCTGAGCTCTGCAGGAGAGCAGCAGCACTTGGACAGCACCTTCCTCACCATGATGGTACCAACCTGCTCTTGCTTAAACATGCTGACTTCAGGGAGGAAATTAAACACATAATTTAAAAAGTCAGGAAAAATGATCTTCCAATATCACTGTAGATTCAAATAGAATCTTAGTTTTCATGGTTCTGTATTTAATACTTSCAGACACAAATTGTACACCAAGGATGAGAACCAGTGGTTCAGATTTTGAGGAAGCCTAAGCCGCTTTCCAGCTTGTGGATGCGACAGTCACATCAAGTTTTTACCAGAATTTATATGCTGYCCTTCCAATTTTAAATTATCTCACACGTGCTCTGGAGAAGTGCAGAATACCTCCCTCTCACATTTCTACAATCAAAAACAAACACAGCTACCACCCTCAGCAGCAGCTGCCTCGGTCACATTTGCTGCATAACAATAGCTAACAAGGGCCTGTAGCAGCAGCACAACTATAAATAGCATCAGCAAAAGCTGTAAGAAAGGGTTAGGACCACAGCTCTCTCAGTGGATTGGAATGGATGCAGCTGAAGCTCTTAAGATCACTAAAAGAAAGGTGAATGAGGCAGAGATTTCTTCTTTGCAAGTTGTTTTGTGGTTTGCCTTTCCATTCCAGGCAGCTATTTGCAATCAGCAAAGCACAGAAGAGCTCCCTGCAAACACAGAAATACTGACTGGTGCACAARGTCTCCTCCTCAGCCCTGAGCCCCTGCTTCTGCAGGCAAATCCACCCCCAGCTGCTAAACTCACCACAGAATGTCTGCTCTGCACTGTTTGTTCCAGCACTTCAAGGCTTTGCTGTTCTCTTAAGTGAGTGCCTCGAAAGAGCAAACACACAAAAGCATCAGCAGCACAGTCTGGCTCCTGAACAGCTCAGCCTGGYCTTCAAGGAACACGCTCACCTCCAGAGGGATCACACACCACATCCACCCCCCAGCAGCAGCTAATGGGAAAAATGAACCACAAGRCACTGCCAAACACAGCCATCTCATTGCTCACTCTTCTCTGACTGTGGGACTGCTCCCAGACCCACAGAGGGGCAGCTGAGACCACCTGGAGTCTTGGGCAAGAGTAGATGATGCTTGGAATTGGAAAAGAACGTAAATGGGAAAGCGCTCAATATAGCACACATCCAGAGCATTGATTCTGTCCAAGTCAAAGCACGATCAGAGGCCCTTTCCTCCCTTGTATGTCTGCAAACATGTCCCTGCTTTCAGATGCTCCATCATCACTTTTGAGGAAATTATCTTCTTTTAAGCTCTTTTGCATCCATCCTTCACTAATTACTGATTTTTTGTTGTTTTTCAGCAATCTTTCTTTCCACTTCCCCTCCAAAAGCTTCTATTGCTCAGTCACAACAGGAAATACACTGACCCTGGCACCCTTATTAGCAGCCCTTGGAGGKGGCATGTTAGTATAGATAACAAAATGTAGCAGTGTCTTACACAGGCTGCAAGATCTGAATGTTCCCTCCAGTTGAACACAAATCCTTCCAAACCCAAAAGAATCATCTGTGTCTCTTTCTTCCTRATCTACTCTCCCACACATAGTGATTCTTTTTGGACACCAGATTCTGAGAAATCTGCATTTAGCCCTGATAAATATTTCAACAGTAACCATCCTGTTAAAGTGATAAGCTCCCAAGGACGGAGGGTCCTTGATTTATCACTTGAAAAGTATCAAAGAGCAGGACATTAGCTATTCCTTTTCACATTGCTCAGACACCAGGCAGCTCTGCAAGCCATAGAAAGGAAGGAAATACATTACAGATATTTAAAAACACACAYGCATCAAACAGAAAGAGGGATTATTGGCAATATTCACCAGCTGGAGACAGAGCATTTGAGGTGTGAGGATGTGAGAACAGGATAACCCAAAGCACAGGGACGGTCCCCTGGAGCTCAGCCATACCTGCASACGAGGGTGGCGATGATCACACACCAGGCTGTGCAGCAGCAGTCAGCATTGAGGTGCTCCTCACTCTTCCGATGGCGGCAGCACAGCCAGAAGGAGTAGAACAGGAGGAAGAGCAGGTCCAGAGCCAGGCAGGACAGAGCGATGCCACCCAACAGCAGCAGGGCCTGYGGGGAACAGAGATGGTGTCACAGCTGGGCCCTGATGTTTGAGGGCTCCACAAGGAATACCTTGAAAACAGATCATTCTGTGGGTTTGGTATATTTTTAAATATAACAGGTGATTTTTTTTTGTCCCACTTGCTCCCCTCGCTCCATCCCACTCAATGAAACCCCATTCTGTACCTCTGCAGTAACAGCTGAGCCATTTTGTCTGTCCCAGTCTGCAAACAGCCTAAGTTAATCAGAGGGTTTCCTCTTTACTACTGATCACAGGTCAGCAGATTTAACGAACAAAAATAACAAAAAAAATAGTTCAGCCAGCTGCCTCTATCTGTACAGTTTTTTAATCTTCATGAATAAATATGCAGGCTTATTCATTAGAAATCCAAGTGCATGAGTGGGTTTGAAAGGGGGTGGAATTTATTATACATGCATGAGATTGATTTTTTTTAAAAAAAATCAATCTCCATGCAATGCTTCTGCTCAAGGTAGGCCTAGAATAAATGCTAAACCCCTCCATATACCATCCACATATATAGGTACAACAAACGTGGATGCTACAGACACACTTGAAGCAGTCACAAGTTGAATTAGTGTCTTATACCTATTTCTAGTCATGTTCCTGGGAGGAAAGGGAAGTTGTAAGAGTTTAACTCCCTTCCAGTTTCTTTTTATTCAAAAAATCCTGGTTAAAATCCAAAAATGCAAACCAATTTTGTTAAATAAAATCAAATTAAAAAAATTAAATCCATTCCAACACCATATCTAGCCACATTTTCCCACCTGCATGAMTCAAGTAAAAGGATGCATTTTTATCCATAATTTTTTTTTTATAAATCCTTGGTAGTGGTGACAAATATCAATTTAYTAGAAATTGCTTAAATATCTGGAAGGGGTCCAAGTCACCTATTGCTGCCCCAATATTGGGAATGCAGACATAGATCTGTATCAGCTAACCTAGAACAAAGGTCTGGGTTTTCAAATCAGTATCTCTTTTCCTCCCCACGCAGAAATTCCTTACAGAACATTAATATGCTTCCCCTTGATTGAAACAATAACTTCCTCCTGATCAAAAGCAATACAACAAAGAATGCTGAGATTAAAGTAAAGAACTTTCCCAACTGGTGAAACTAACAGGGTCTGTAGGATTTTGCTCTTTGTAGGCTTTTCTTTCCCCCACTCTGCTCCATAGGTACTCCCTGCTGAGTTATTATCCTGGCAAACAAGCCACACAAGGCCCTTCCCAGCCAAGAAACRTCAGCCATACATAACGAGGTCCACACCAGTTAAACCCAAGTGCTGCACCACAGATACTCCATGTAGCCACTTGCTCTTGGCTTTCCCAGCCTTTAGAAATCCTCTCCAAGCCCACTGAGCACACTGGGATGGGGGGAGCTTACAGGTGCTGCTTTCCCAAACGAAAGAGCAGAAACTCAGTCCCGCTGTGCAAAGTGAACTCTGGGATCTCTACCAGCGAGGAGTGGGGGTGGAAGGGAAAAAGCCCAATCCCCCTTTCCCATGCTTTCTCCAGATGGTGTGAGCGCTGCTTGAGTTCCTGAGCAAAAGGGGCCTCCGAAAGGGAAGCTGCACTTGGAGCCCCATGTTCCCCCACTTCTGAAGCCCTGCCATGTACCAGCACTCCATGCTAATTTAACTAACACATTTGGCATACCAAAGCTCCTCAGGGATATTCTTTATTTTTTAMATATGTCAGGCTGCTGTAAGGCAAAGCCTTCCTGCCCTGCTTGCCTGCACTTCTTTCTTCACACCCTCAAACCTCCTGCACATGCTAAAAGGCATTACTGCTGGAAAGAYGAACTCAGCTGAAAACATCCTCCCAGCAACTCTTTTATCAGCAAAAAACCCACACTGCAGCTCCAGATGTAGGGGAACCGCCCCCATTGAAAGGAAATATTAAAAAAAAATAAGGAAAAATGGGTATCAGACTGCCAACCAGCATGCAACCTGAAGCCCCTGTTTTGAAGGGACATTTAATACACACTTTAAATTTGCATCTGGCCAAAAGGACTTGGCTAGCCACTATACCACAATCTGCATTTCATTTTCCAGGGAATAKTTGTTTTCCATTAATGGATATATGCCATGACAACAAGTGAAATCATCCAGCAGAGGAGTTATTAATCTTTCTGACTGATGAGTCAGTTTAGGACCCAGAGACTGGCTGGCAGTGAAAGCCCGGTCACAACCAAAGATATTCCTCTGCCTGCCTGTCAGGATTAAATGACAGTATTTAAAAAAGGGGGGTTGAGGCTGGATAAACCCTTAGACACTCTATCCTGCAACAGCAAATCTGGGACTCGGTTATCCAAGGCCACATTATCCCAAGTAAATGTAAAATTATGCACTGGGCCTTTTGCCACAAAAGAGCATCAATTCGTCTTCGAACATTTGCTGAGCTATCAGAACCTTTATAGCAAATGATGCATGAACTGCCCTTACAGGAAAATGGAGACAACTTGGAGGAACAGCATTTTACCACTGCACTGACATTAATGGCAGCTGTGGAGACAGAGCAGTCCCTGAAAATGAGAGTAAATCCAAGTGGTATCTGCCAGACTGGCAGGAGACRAAGCTACAGTGTCAGGAAGCACTTTCAAAATAAAAGCTGTACACAGGGAAGGAACCACAGGAGCATTGGTAGCTTGGGAAGGCACCATGGGACCCAAAACCACTTGGTGCTGTGTGGGGATGGTGCTGCAGTGTTTACAGCCTTTCTCAGCTCCAGCATGGTTGCCAGGATTCTTGGTACTTCCCACCTCCATGAAGCCAAAAAGGGGGAGAAAACATCTAGATCCTCACGTACAGAAAGGTGAAACACARAGCACAGCAAAAACATGTCCCCTCTGCTAGGAAGATCATTTGGCACAAAAAGTCCCAGCAGCAGAATARGTTTAAGAAGTTAATTTTGAATACACAAGGGCTCAAAACCATCCATGCATATATCAAGTACAAGATTTTACCAATCTCAATTTATCCAATTTCCAATTACCACATTCTTTACACCTTAACTGCACTAACAGCAGCACAGAATAGCAAGAAGCTTTTCACATGGAATAGATGATTGCTATTTTACTACTAGTTAGAAAGTCTACTAAAACTCCTTAAGTAACTTRAGAGCAAAGATGAAGCTTTCAGGTGGTTCCTGAGAAGAACTGCAGTTTCACTTTAATCTTCCATCAATGATTTTAAAGGTATTTCATCTTAAAGCTTTGTGATTCCAGCCCACAGAACAAAAAGAGCTACAGCTTTTGAGCACCTCAAGAACACAGCTGTCTTAATCATTGCCAGATTGAGAATGGTTTACCTTAAAGTTAGCTTTTGCCAAAAGAAAGCTTTCCACTGAATTTGCAGTTAGTATTCTTTCTGTATTTCCATGCAGSGACTTGAGATAGTGATAATAAAACAGAGAGAAGAGGTTAAAGGAGTGTGGGAAGAGAAAAACGTTCACCCAGAAGAACAAATGAAGCAACCTGGGCTGCTGCCAAAGGAGCACTCATCTCTATTTATTCCATGAAGGACGGAAGTCATCTTAGCAAGAAAAGAAACTGCTGTGGGATAGTGTCATGCCTACACTACTTCCTACACCACTTTTTTTTTTCCTTCCAGACTTCAGGACATGTCTCTAAAAAGCTTATGTACTCACAGATGATGAGCAGCTATGTCCTATCAAACTAAGTGGGTTTTTTGTTTTGGTTTTTTTTTTTTGGTAATGCTGGCAACAAAAGGAACACTCTGACCTCCTCATCAACTTGTTCTGGACACCCTGTGTGTCCAGAGATTTGATTTTCAGTACTTAAAAAATGCTTCACGAGGTGTTTGTTGAGATAGTTGAGTGTCTCAGGATGTCACTCATCCCAGAGCCCCTACAGACGGGTAGGGAACACAGCCAGGCATGTATTGGCTGATGGGATGTGGGGGGAGGATGTGCAAACCACTGCTGATGTCAGCAGTAAACCATCCCTATCTCCTCCRGGGGACAAACCTTCCCAGGCCAATTACTGCACTCAACAGTGTRGAGGAGCAAAGCTGGGCAGGAAATGTGCTGTGGAAGAGGCTTTTCCCACGGTGCCGAGATGAATTCTCTTCCATGAGGGATCCCTCTGCACCAGGGAAGAGCACCATGGAAACAGAGAACAGGTTCCACCACCTCATCCCTTTCCACAGACATCTTCCACAGAAAGCACATTGGTAAGGGAGAGCAGTAGATTATAGATATATTTAGGGCAAGCCCACACTGGAGCAAGCAATATAGGCCAACACTTTGCCTTTAGCTTTTTTTGGCTATTGGCTTTCCTTTCCGGAAAGCAGGAAATGCCAAGGATTGTGTCATGCTTTTTCTTTTCTGGTTTTGTTTTGTTTTTTTTAAACACCTTAAGACAATAYAGCAGACACATCAGAACAAAACCAGATCTGCAGCCGAAATCTCTCCTAGCATGACTCCATAACTCAATTCCATTTAGCAGGCCAATTTCTCCAATACTGCAAAACTCTCTACATAGGCATGGGCATTACACAGTTACTTGGTATTAGAGCTGTGAACTGAAGCCACTTTAATTACAAATGARTGTTCACACAGGGTTTTAATGTAGTTTAACTAGAATGGCCTTAATTCAGTGTAGTTTAATTCACTTTAGTACATTTAAAGTGGTTTAACTAATCTATTTTGAATTCATTCCTCCAGTTAATTCAGATTAATTTCTCAAGTGTAAGCAACAATTAAGAACAAGGCTAGGTTGATTAAAGATTCATCATCATTTCCTCCATAATGACATTGTGACCCCTTAGCTCATAATTAAAGACTTCCAACACTGCCTTTATATTTAGTCCAATTTGCAGAAGCCACCAGTGCAGAGGCCAAAAAGACACAACTTGCTGATCCTTGGCTTCTTGYAGCAACCACCTCAGTACAATCACTGCCAGGGTTCTGAGAGCTGTGGTTGAATAATACATAGCTCAGGTACGTCTGTACACCTCAACTTGAACAG